CACGCATGTGCCGTCAGACTCGGGTGGTGTTGCCTGGCTTGCTCTTGCTCCGATTTCGACTCGCTCAGGCGCCACTGGCCATGCCAACGACGCTGCCAAGCCGGGCAGACGGTAACGACCAGCTAAAGCAGGACCATCAGCCAGTTGTGGGTACTGGTGTGGTATGCCTGGTATGCGATAGCCTTCTCACATCGACACGCTCGGGCCAGGGCTACTACATCACAAACCGGTTGGCGGCTATCGAGCGCTTGGCCAAGTTCAAGTTACCCCAGGTACGCCCAAAGTTAGAGTGCCGGCCCGACCTTGCACAGCACGTGTGGCGCTTGCTGGTTTTGAACACGGTGGTTTGGTTGCAATGGATTGGTGAGTGGCAAAGTTGGCTCCAGCAACTGCCCCCACGACCCTCATCGCTGTCGATGACCTCGGAGCGCTTCACTAGCCCTAAGCATGGTGAATTACCGGCTCCCCACCAAGCCCTGACAGACGTCGACCCAGTATGGCCCCCGTTTCTACGGCATTCGGTGGCCCGGCTCCCGATAATGTTTCGCCAGGGCATCTACCAGCTCACATCGGAGGAACTAGGCTTGGAGTACGCCCTGCGACAACAGCCCCTGGTCTTTCCGTTGCAGCGGCTCCAAAAGCAAAGCGCCCAGCAGGATTGCATTGCCTTTTCCCCAACCACTTTGGCCCCTGCTGACGAGCTGCATTTGCAGTGCGCTTTGCTGTTTCCTTGGCGTGCCATTGGCTCGGTTCCTGCACATTCCACCATTGCTCCACTCGGGTCAGAACCACCACAGTCTAATGCAATACCGACGGACTTGGATCGATCATCTTCTATCACGCTGGCCCAGCGCTCCAGTGAACCTACGCCACCTTGCGTATCACTACCGGGCCAATTCATGCCTTGCTATTTTGCCATCCCTACCCAGAACAAGCCAACGGTTGGTCAAGGCTACCTTGGCATGATCCCAACTGCACTCAGTACTCAGACCCAGTCGCTTTCTTTGGACCCCAATTGTGCTCCACGCCTCATTCCCCTATTCGATGCCTTTGCGATCTATGGCCCGAATTTAGGGTCCCAAATCTATGCTTATTGCTTGTCACACGTTGCACCCAAGGCGTTGACGTCACAGGCGACGCTCGTTGATTCGTATCAAATGACAGGGACCCAAGTGATGGACAGCGCCGCGTTGGTGCGCCAAGCGTGTGATCCAGACCAAACATACGTTAGTTTGGGGATCAAAGCATCGCCATTGGGCCTTGGTTTTGCTATCAACCTCTTCCGGTTACATCAGTACTCCATTCCATTAAAATAAATTATGAACCAGGGCGGGTGGGGTGGGGCTGCAAACTGTCTTGGTGGGCCAATGGCACGATTAAACCCGGCGCAAGGAATCGTGGCTCGCATACTGGCTCGTGCAATTTGCATAATTTAAGCTCGTGGAATTTATCCCCCCAGCAAACCCAATCGATATGTTTTGCACTCGACAATGCCACAGCAGCCGAGAGTAGCTCAGTGGGCAGAGCAGGAGATTTCTAAAATGCCAAGCCATCTCTTGGTCCTTGGTTCAAGTCCGGGTTCTCGGACAACGGTCTTTTATGACACCTGTAGACCCATTTTAACCTAAATGGCCAGCGAAATGCAGGCTCATGGGGCTGAGGGAAAAAATCAAGGCCAGGTCCCGCATTTCCTTTCAGCATTACCCGTGACCATTATCACCTGGGCAGACAGAGACGAGTAAGCTAATGCCGATTTATAGAAGAGTTGGCCTGGTACTTGCAGCACGAACCGATAGAAAAATAGGCAAGTATATCACGGCGCAGGGCATGGCGAG